TTGACTACCAATGAGTTTGTTACTTACGTTACAGAATTGATCGGTTGCCTAAAACAAATACGAAGCAGTTTTGAGGTTATTATCAAACATTGCCAATTCTGTCGTTTTGCTAATTCTGTCTTTAGTATTAAATTGTTTTGCTAAATTTTGTCTTTAATTGTTTTTCTTCTTAGAGAAACACGGTTAGATATGTAGAGATTTTAAAGTGTCTTTTTTCTTTTAGGTTCTTGAAAAGATATTAAGCCCCTGTTTGAGTCATATTATATTTTTCATTATTATTTTTTTACTCATTTTTAATCACACGTTCTTTAATAAAATAATATTTTACATCACATCAATAATTTTTCTTTCTTTTTTAATCACATATTCCCCACCACATTAACTAAAAAAATGCACTATCCACAAAAATGCATACCAAAAAGAGGCTAAACCCCTATTTGGTATGAGATTAAAATTAGATTTTTAGTACATTTTTATAAAAAAAAATTGATGAAATGTGTGGTTGAAAAGTTGTGAGTTCTATAAAATATATGGTTATAATTTATTATTGATTTTGATTTGGATTAAAATTTAGATTTTAATTTATACTAAATAGAGACTTAAATTATGAGGTGGATCAATTAGATTGAGGGTTTTGCCAAATCCACTTTACAAGTCTACTTTGTTTATGCAATGTATGTTTTAATTAATATCAAATTTCAATATGGTGGTAATTCAACAAACATATAATGATAAGTGGGTACTCAAATTCAAAGGAAAATTCAAGATAATTGAAGGAAATGTCAAGTGAACAGGAAAAACAGAAGAAATTCGTCAAGAGTAATCGAAGTGATGTGGAGGAAAAAAATTAGATGAAAAGATGAGACCGTGTGACTAGGGCTGGGCCCATACAAAAATCGTGGATCCGACGGTCGGTTCGGGTTGGTTTTGATTTAAAAATGGGTTGGGATGGGTCGGGTCGGATCCACGGTTTAAATATTTCAAACCGATCCAACCCATTATCCCTAACCCTATTTCCTAATTCCAAATGCAAATCGCCTCCACAGCCCTCTTTGGAAATCGCCTCCACAACCCTCCACGAAATCGCCTCCACAGCCCTCCACGACCTCTCCCTCCGCCCCCAAGGTACAGAAATATAAAAAACTTACATTTATGCACTCGTATTATATTACTTTGTTTTATTAAATATTTGTGCTTGAAACTTTTTTGGTTAAGGAAAGAAAATGTTGGTACCTTTGACGGCATCGCTTTGTGTTCCTGGTTCGTTGGATGATGCGGATAAGGTGTTGGTGGATGTAGGCACTATTACTTTATAGAGGTTAGTCCAATGCAAATTTGGTGGTACATAGATTATTTTTCAAAACTTTGTGTAATTAAATATTTCTATACCTGTGCCTAGTATTGCTTGTGCCAATCCATATATTTTTCTTATCTGCTTTCACTTTTAAATTCAAGAACCTATGATATAGTTGAGCAAGTAGATCCTTACCAGTTTTTCCTGTTATAGAATTCTAATGATTTAACATCAATCTCCTTGAATCAGTTTGATCTTCTCAAAATCCTGCATGGTTATTCTCTCCAGGCCGATTCATTACTGGGATAGCCTAGACTTTGAACCTAAAATCTGCTGTTTTTGTCTGAGACTTCAATGATTTCTCCTGGGGTTTGTTAAAGTTTTGTTGGGAGGGGATTGCATGAAGGTGATTGAGGAGTTTTTCTAGCTATGAATGCTCAACTGAGTCACAAATTGCGTTTAAGTGGGCCTATGATGTTGTTCTATAACGAGCATTAGAATATAAACAGTGTTTGATGTTCCACTTGCTACATCCAAAGGCTAAAAGTTTGTTCTTATTTTTCTTTTATATATGGATTTGCTGCAGCTCCACATGCAAGTAGATTGCTATGTGTATTTGATTTTAGTGGGGCCTATACATGCATGGTTCTCGTTATGAGTAACTGAAAACTTGAAATCACAGTGATAGTAATGATCAGATAGTATCTAATTGGTCTGCACAGGTCTGACCTCCTCAAACTTCTCAAATGAGCAGACATCTTCTAATGCTAAACTGAGTCACAAATTGCAAAGTTATATTCTAATGCTTGTTGTAGTGGATGACTAATCTTTAACTTCTTGTTTATTTGTATAGGTATGAATGTGGATATGGATAGTGAAATTGAAGCTATGAATGAAACTCCTTCAACAACAAATTTAGAAAAAAGTGCTACGTCTCTTCCTCCACTTCCACAATTATGTTTAGAGAAGATGAAACATAGGAAATCTTTTGAGTAAAAGTGATGATTATCTTTGAGTGATATGGTCATTAACATGAAAAAAAATTTGACAAGTATTGGGGAAAAATGGAAAATGTTAACCAGTTGTTGATTGCTACTGTACTTGACCTAAGATATAAATTGGAGTATGTTGATTTTTGTTTTGGGGATATTTATGAGGATAAGGAAATCACTCGTAATATGACAAATATTTTGAAAAGACAATATGGTGTCTATTTACTATTGGTATGTGAGATGTGAAACAAGTTCTAAAAGCAATCAAGTATCTAGTGATATGAATTCTTCAAGTGGGGTTTTTTCTACTAAAGAAAGTCTTACTTCAACGGTCTCTCTTAATCGTGTTTCTAGGTTTAAGCGAAAAAAGGCAGCAAAAGATTTTGTTGAACTTAAAAATGATGTTGAGAGATACTTGT